CTTATTTAGCTTCTTTCTTTTCCCTGCTTTAATTCTTTTATTTGTTGTTCTGCATTATTAATCCAATGGTGCCTTTTTTATACATTAAATGAATCTCTCTCTGCTAGTTCCTAACCAAGATAATTTGCTGATTTTAAAAACTCATTTTCTTTCCCAGGACTGTATCCACTAAAAACACAAATGTTTCTTATGTGATGACTTGAGGAACCAGTCATTTTTACACACCTCTATAACTGTTGAATGTATGAGTTGAGTAGAAATGAAGGGAAGGAAGAGAAGATTTTATAGATAAGAAATTAAAAAAACAATCATATCACCTATATATAGGCTAGCTGGAGTCTTACCCTCCCTTTTTTTTTTAAAAAAAAATGGGCCCATAAATTATGAATTGCACGATACATATCAAAAAAAAAAAAGGATTTGTATGTATGCTTAGTTGTGATTGTGGCTCACATCTTTCCTTAGTTTTACATCCAAGAACAACTTAAACGCCCTCTATGGGTCGGAGATAAGCTTCCCATCTAGTTTTCTTAAAAATTAACAAGTAGGGTCTTTTTTAGTCAGATTTCTAAGACTATGATGAACATGTTTTTTTTTTTTTTAATAGGCCCATAAATTATGAATTGCACGATATATATCTTCACTATGATAAGACTTAAGAGTCAATAGAAGATTATCTAAAGACTCTCTATGTTTTGAAATAAATCCAACTATTTGATAATTTTCACAGGTTTTGCAGAATGCATATGAGTCTTTAAACTTGGTGAGCTAGTAAAATCCACTTTGTAAGATTTTTACAGTTGTCTTTCTTGATGAGAAATGACCCCCATATGCCCTAGAATGACAAAATTTAATAACACTACTTACCTCATTGTTAGGAATGCATCTTCGAAATATTTGATTAGGATAATATTTGAATAAATAAAGGTTATTCTAATAAAAGTTCTTCACTTCGTTCAAGAATTTTCTTTTTTCTTGAGTACTCTAATGAGCTGGCAATTGTCCTGAAATAAGAAAATTAAAAATATTAGCAAACCAAGGCATTGTAGAGATGGAAAGTAAAGATTCATCAGAAAGCAGTCATCGATTGGTGAGACATCAAATCTCGAATCTATTGTCAATCTTGACAAATGATCTGCGATAATATTTTTGGTGCCTTTTTCATCCTTGATTTCTTCCTGTTTGACAGTTTCAAAGATTTCAAAATCGTGATTGGCTTCTCTTTGTTTGGTCATGACATGAGAAACAGTTTCAAAGATTTCAAAATCATGATTGGCTTCTCTTTGTTTGGTTATGACATGAGGAAATAGAAGTGCTAGCAGGGAATCAGTCTTTTTTTTTGCATTGTTCAGATTTAACCCTTTTCTTATCCTCAAAGATTAACTCATCATCTTTCTCATAAGGTTCAAGAGAGGGTTTTTCAATAACCTTACCACTGCGTAGAGTAGTGACTGATTTGACTATCCATGTGTTTGCTTCTGGAACTACTTGCATTTGTATTATATTGTCTCTTTGGATTTTGCTGTGGCTGAGATGGAAACTTACCTTTCTTTTGAAAACTAAAAGCATAAGTGAATTTTGCAAGAGTATTTTAAAATCTATCATGCTTTGAGCAAGTTGAGTGTTGATTGTTGATTGTCTCTTGCTTTTTAATAAATGCATGCAATGTTTCCTCAAGATTTCTTCTAGGAGATGGAGCATAAGGAGATGCATATATATATGAGAATTTTAAAATTATGGTGTGCTTGAGAAGTTTATGCGTTATTGTTATCACTTTTCCAACTGAAATTTAGGTGATTTCTCCAACCAGAGTTGTATGTTTGCGAGTATGGGTTATGATTGGGTATTTGAAAACTGTTTAAAGCATGAGCTTGTTTATAGAGGCATTCCTTGAAAAAAGGCAAAGTTGGACAGTTACTGGTTGAGTGTTCATTGGTTTCACAGATTTGACATACAATGTCTTAAACAGATTTTAGTTGGCCACTCTTTTTCAATTCTAGTGTCTTGATTTTTGTATCTAAAGATGTCAACTTGGCTTGGAGGTCATGATCTTTCTTAATGTTGTACATTCCTCCACTAAATATATAAGGTTGAGTTTTACTTGGTGCCTCATAAATGTTTGTAGTGCCCTAATTTTTAGCATTTTCAGCTAGCAAGTCTAGGTACTCCATGGCTTTATTAGGATCTTTATCTTTAAAAGTTCTATTGCACATCAATTCCCTCATTTATCTATCTTTAGGTGTTAACCCTTCATAAAAATATGAAATCAATCTCCATGTTTCAAAATCATAATGAGGGCAAGTATTCAACAAATCTCGATACCTATCCTAATATTGGTAAAATATTTCTCCTAGTTTTTGAGTGAATGTGATGATTTATCTTTTGAAAAAGTTTGTTCTATGAGAAGAGAAAAACATCTTTAAAAACTGTTGTTGCATTTCATCCCAAGCACGAATGGATCCTGGTCTCAAATTTTCACGAATGGATCCTAACATAAGATTTTGCATCTATATTTTAGCTTTATCTTTTAATAAAAAAAAATACATTTAATCTGATAGTGTATATGTTACAATTTAAGTCATTATAGGTGTTACAAACTTCTTCAAATTCTCTTAAATACAAATATAAATTTTCTAGATCTAAGCTATGAAAAGAAGGTAAAGATTGAAAAATATCTGGCTTAAAATTAAAGTGAAATGCATCAGAAGGAAAATTATGCATCATGATGCACTTCTTCTTGTAGGATTTATATGGTCTCTAAGTATTCTACCATAACTATTCTTATTATGAACCAACTGGTTATCTTCTTTGGTCATATTTTCTAAAAATAATAAGGATAATACCTTACAAAGTCTACCATTTAATGTACGTAACCAAACTCTCATGCACATGTAGGAAGGGAATAAAAGAAAGAAAAGAAAAAGAAATAAGAAACAAAAATTTGATAAAAAAGAGAAAATAAAAAGTAAAATAAATATTATAATTTATACAAGAATTTATCTCCCTGGCAACGGCGTCAAAAACTTGACACGACCAAAAGATTGATATCTTCTCCCAAGTGTAGGAGTATCGAAGTAATAAATAACTCGGCTAGATTGTAGTCGAACCATAGAGGGGTTAACTATAATAATAATAATAATAAGTTAAAGAGGACTTTGAGATGTAAGATTAATGTGAGGATTAAATTATGATAAAAATAAATGTCAAGGTTAGATGATCCACTAATGGCATTTCAAACAAGTATAATATAAAATAAATGTTGTCAAGTATTTATGGTTATAACTCATGTTAACAATAAATCAAATTCTTTTCATAGAACATATGTAAATGATATTATAAGGTTGGGCTATGAATGTGCCAAGTATTTGTTGTACCAAGTGTTATATAACACAATTCTAAATTAACCATTTAATAAGTAAATTATTAAAAGTGAACGAGATAACAAATACAAAATATGTTAGTATCAATCATTAAGGTTGATGTTGAGTTTATACTATACTTGTTCTTACACCATTAATATAACTTTTTCACCTTAACATAATAAACTTAACTAAACATAATGAAAGAGAGAAATATAAATAAATAAGATAAAAACATAAATAAAATATAAGTTAATTAAGAAAAGGAATGAAATAAAAAACATAAACAAGAGATTAATATAACATGAAATAAAACTTCAATATTACAAAATACAAGAAATAGAGTAAGAATAAGATCTTAATTTGAAAACTAAAATGTCTAAATATATGGAAAATGCCTCCTTTTATAGGCTAAAATTCAAAG